AAAAAAAAAAAAAAAAGCCTTTATTATAATGCTTAGTTCTGCTTTTATCCCATGAATTTTTTTGTGTTCAATGAAACATGTTTATGGTTCACCTCCTTTGTTTCCCCATAATTGGGAATGTATTTTTTAGTGGTAGAAATTTCTCTTTTTTTAAAATGTCAGAGAATCAGAAAAAATATTTCTTTGTTTTGTATTACTTATTTGTTAAAAAAATAACACATTATTCACCACTTATGGACTGTCTTAATGCATTGGGGAATACAGACAGCTGAATTCTGCGTGTGAAGAACAGATTCATCCTAGATTGTTATTTATTATTTTATCAGGCAAAGGTAGCCGCAGCAGATGAGAAGAAGTTCCAGCAACAAATCTTGGCCCAGCAGAAGAAAGATTTGACAACTTTCTTAGAAAGTCAGAAGAAGCAGTATAAGATTTGCAAGGAAAAAATAAAAGAGGTAAGGGCACCAATATTTGTAGTCCCCAAGTTGCCATTAGAATGGTTGTGATCAATATTCTAATCCCACAAGTCTCAAACTTTACATTAGAATCACCTAAAATGCTATCAAGACAGATTGCTAAGCCTACCCCCAGATTTTCTGGGGTAGAGTTTAAAAATGTGCATTACTAGCAAGTTCCCAGGTGATGCTGAGGCTGCCAGTTCAGAGACCGCATTTCAAGAACCATTGCTGTAACTCCAAACCATTCTTATCTACTTCTAATTTATTTTCCACACCTCAGCCAGAGTGATCTTTTCAAACCTTAAATCTGGTCATATCACCTCATGGTTTTAAGATCCACTGGCTTGGCTTTGCTCTCAGGACAGGTCAAAATCCTAGAAGTCCCTACATGATCTGCTGCTCCCAGCCTTCCCTTCCAGCGTCATCTCACACCAGCGCTTCTCCCACCCTACCCCACTCTCTGCTGCTCCGGATGTCTATTGGTCATCTTTCAGTTCCTCAAATTTATCATATCAAGCACCACCCTTCCCCAAGTTCTTTGCACATACTGTTTCTTCCTCCAGGACTCTCTCCTTAACCCCAAGCCCTCCCTGACCACAATTCTGCTCAGTTAATTCCTACTTCTTCTCCTTTTAAGATATAGGATTGGTGGCCGGGCGCGGTGGCTCACGCCTGTAATCCTAGCTCTCTGGGAGGC